GTGAGTTCAAGGCCAGCCTGGTCTACATAGTGAGTTACAGGACAGCTGGGGCTACAGGGAGACCCTGTCTCAAAAAGACCAAAAAAAAACAAAAAACAAAAAACTTGGGTGGTTGCAGCTGTGTGGGTTCATTTCTTGGCCATTTATTCTAATCATTGGTCTTCCTGTTGGTGTTTGTGCCAGGACCATGCTGTTCTTGTTGTGATGGCTGTGTGATACAATTTGAGATCAGGAACGGTGATATCTTCAGCATTTTGCTCTTTCCACTAAGGATTGCTTTGACTATTTGGATCTTTTTTGTTTTCATATCATAGTTAGGATTGTTTTGCTCCATTTTGTGAAGAATGTTGTTGAGATTTGAATGCAGCTTGAATCTGTAGGCCGTTTTCCGTAACACAGCAATTTTCACAGCATTACTTCCACCGATCTATGATGACTGTAGCCATCATAGATCACTGTATTAAATGGGGAAAGTTGAGAGACAGCGTGACCTCTACAAGCCGAAGACGACAAGGTGCCCACTGTCCCACACTTAATCAATACCTTGCCTGAGCTCTTCTCTAGAGCAGTATACAAACAGGTACACATACAGGAAAGGAAGAAGTCAAATGATTGGTGGATAACATGATCCTGTCATCAAAAGACCCCAATGACATCATCAGAAAACCATTAGAACTAATAAACATTTTCAGCAAAGTAACATTAAAAAAATCAACATAAAATTGGTAGCTTTCCTGTATAATGATAACTTGGTAAGGAAGAAATCAGGGGAAAAAAGTCCCATTTATCAAAAAACCAAAATGCTGAAGCATAAACCTAATCAAGGAGGTGAAAGACCTATGTAATGAAAACGGAACACACTAAGTAATGCCAAGATTTCCCAGGTACTGGTTCTTTTATTTTTCTGTTTTTAATTAGCATACAAAGTAACAGGTGTCCTTACAGCATTTTCTGGGCTGATGTATCCCTCCTCCCCCTTTCCCTATCTCCTTATCCCTTTCCCCACTTGTAACCCTCTGCTCCCAGTGTTCCCCTTTCCATTTTCAGAAAATAAAAACTGGTGAGGATGTGGGGAAAGAGGAGCCTTTAAACTGGTGCAGCTACTATGGAAGTTAGTGAGGAGGCTTCTAAAAAAAAGAACCTAAACTTAGAACAACCTTATGACCCAGCTGTAGCATTCCTGGATATACACCCAAGACACTGTATCCTACTAGTATACAAGTGTGCAAGAGGCACTTGCATACTTGCATACCCATGTTCACTGCTGCTCTGTTCACGATAGTAAGGACGTGGAATCAGCTTAGATGTCCGTCAACTGATGAAAGGATAATGAAAATGTGCTACCTATACATAGTGGAATTTTATTCAGCCCTAAAGAAAAATAAAATTATGAATTTTCAGGGAAATAGATAGAACTGGAAAAATTACATCAAATAAGGTATCCCAGGTTCATAAAGACAAATATTACACATTCCCTCTCACATGCAGATCCTAGCTTTTAATTTATATGTGTGTATTGGTGTGGGAGTGAGTCTGGTAGAGATCAGGAACTTGGTTCTTACATACCATCATGAAGTTGAACCACACATTTCTGTTTGTAGCACAAGGGCCAGATTGTTGGTCACGTGGTCCCATCTTCATGGGACTTGGGGAAGATTAGCAATCACATAGTCATTCTGAGGGCAGTAAATGTCTCTTCCCAAAGTGTTCAACTTTAAGTGGTGGTACATAACCCAGGAAAATCCAGATTTCTGGCTTCCTATGAAAACCCAGATGATCTACATTTTGGGAAGAGGAATGTGTCCCCTCCCCATGACTCCATGACTAGTGTCTGTTAACTGAGACATCCCCTTAATCCCTGGACACTTTTACATTTTTGTTTTTATTTCTGAGAAAGGATCTCACTCTTGATCTTGTATTTGCGATGATCCTTCTATCTCAGCCTCTCGAGTGTTGGAATTACAGGAGTGAACCACCATATCTCCACATCTGAGTTACATTTTGTTTTCCTGTTGTATGTGTACAGTTCTGGAAAAATTGGCTTGTGGTAGAGCCTGTGAATCTTACACTCATTCAGTCATTCAGCAACCACTTTTGGGTCTCCCACAATGTACCAGGATGTACTTGATACTGGAAATGAGTGGTAAAGCAGAAAGCCATCTATGGCCATGCCAGTGTGTACCAGAGCCCCTGGAAGTGTCAGCACAGAGGTGGGATTACAAGTCCTGAAGGTTCCCAGGGCAGAAGGGCTGCCCCATCCTGGCCAGAGACTGCAGGTACTGGTGTGTGGAGGAACAGCAGAGGACCAATAAATGAGTCTTTTGGATAGAGACCAGCACTGCGGAACCCTATTGGGGAAAGAGCCTTGAGCTCTGGGGCTATGTGAAGTGGACAAAGCTGGGCTCCGAGGGGGATATGGGTAGAAGCTGGATGAAGGTACAGAGCAAAGCAAGGGGAAACCCCACCTCTCATCGTTTCTGAGTAAACCTAGCCCTTCCTTGAATGAACTTGCTTAAAATATGACACCATTATGCCCTGTACCTACATAATCAGTGCCGACCCAGAAACTCCATCACAGGCATTCCCCTGGGCTGAGGAAGCTTCTGCTTAGCAGTGTGTGGGGAACTACCCAGACAAGAGGGCAGGCCAATCCTTCCACAGGCTGAGGAGGAGGAACAGAAACCCTGTTTTGCAATCCCTGTTGCCTAGCCAAGGAACAGCAGCAGGAAGTCCCCAGCTCTGGGTCCTAGTGCTGTTAGGTCTTGTGTCACTGTATGTCCCACCTGACCTCTCTGCAGGCCATGTTCTGCCTGACTTTAGAGTGAGGCAGCGGTATGTTGATGGATAGTTCCAAGGTCACCAGGAAGCCCATCTCCCTCCAGTCCTTCCATTTCTCCAAGCCAGCAGCTCCTGTAATCAAATCCAGTTCACAGCTGATGTCAACACAGAAGACAGCTCATCAGGCAAGGAGAGGGCAGGAGCATGCTGGACTGGTCAGAGAGGTGAAAGGTAGGGGTGGCATTAACACTGAGGTTGTGTGGGGCTAGATCTTACTGCCCAGCAAAGCATTGCTAAGAGAAGGTCCTCAGCCGGAAAGAAGCAGTGCCCCCTTTTCTCTAGTCTTTGTAACCAGGGGGCAATCTTGGTCTGAAATTATTAAGTGGAAAATTCTGGGTATTTATTTATTTATTTATTTATTTATTTATTTATTTAATGTGTTTGTTATGCCTGCATGTATGTAAGTGCCCATGGAAGCCAGAAGAGGGTGTCAGATCCCCTAGATCTGGAGTTATAAGTGGTTATTAGCTGTCATGTGAGTGCTGGGATTTTGACCCCTCAGGTCTTCTGCAAGAGCAGCCAGTGCTCTTAACTGCTGAGCCGTTTCTCTAGTCCCTTAAGTGGAAGATTCTAGAAATGAGCAATGGCTAAGTTTTAAAGTGCATGTCATTCTGAGGAGCATGACAAAATCTCACCATCTGACTTCTGCCTGCCTGGGCACAAAGTATCCCTGAGTTCCTTGTATCCACACTGTGCACCACCCTATTGCGGTCACTTTGCAGCCAAATGTCATCAATTTGACTGTTGGGGTATCAGTGCTTGTGTTTAAGGAACCTTTGCTTTACTAACTGTTTGATAATTCACATCACTGAGGGGCTGGAGAGATGGCTCAGCGGTTAAGAACACTGGTTGTTCTTGCAGAAGACCCGGGTTTGAATCCCAGCACCCACATGGCAGCTAACAACTGTCCGTAACTCCAGTTCCAGGGTATCTGACAGCCTCTTCTGACCTCCGCGGGCATTGCACGACACAGGTGCACTTACCTACATGCAGGCAATACACACATACACATAAAATAAAAATAAAATTTTTAAAACTTAAAAAAAAGTTCACATTACTGAATGCTCCAAAGCCTAAGAAAAGTGATGCTGGCAATTCAGATACACCAAAGAGAAGCCAAAGGGCCCAAATTCTTAGCTCATTTGGCACTTGAAACAGCAGCTGGTTGTGTTACTAGGATCTAGTAAAAATGAGTCTTTTATCCATGAAATTGTGTGAAGAAAAGAAATCCATGTGAGATTTTGCACTCAAAACTCTGAATTACGCCTACTGTTCCAGGGAAGGGTTAGTTAAACAGAAATGCATTCAGCTATGGGGTTCAGATCCTTTTGAGGCTTCAGGAATGTACTAGGGGTCTTGAAAAAAACCCTTATATTATAATGGGGGGGCAGTTGTAATGTTGGGGGGTGGGAGAGGAGAGAACCTTGCAGAAGATGCCAGCAAGATAAAGTCCTTGTGATTTACCCTGTGTGAAAGTCACGTGGGTGGGCTTGAGGCCCTCCTACATTCATGGTTGTAGATGGAGAGAGACACAGAAAGCTCCATGTGTGAGTCTGGGTGTGGCCCTACTGTGTGGAGGAGAAAAAGAAGGCTTTGGGGGCAAAGTCCCTGCCAAGAGAAAATAGAAGTTAAGAGACCAGAATCAGGCATCCGAACTCTTGTGTCTGAAGTGGCCCTGCTTCTTGCGCATGGGCTGATCTTACACGATGTGTTTCCCGTCTGTCCCTGTTTTCTCATCCACAAAGTGGGAATATGTGATCTTTACCTCACAGTGTTATTGTAATGACTTCACAGAAATTGCTTAACAGTCTCCAGAAGGAGCGAGTTCAGTACAGTACCCACCACTGGGAGAGCTGGCCCAGGGAGTGGACTCCAAAGTCATTTATAAAGCCACTGCTCCGGCTCATTTGGAAGAGAGGAGAGAGGACCAGGGAGGCTTTGGAGGACTTGAGAGCAGCCAGGGAAGAAGCCATGAGTCAGTGTCGATCAAGGCATCCTGAAGGGATTTCCAGTGGGGCAGGCAGGCCATCCATCCTACACTTGGTCAAGTGGGACCCCAGGGTGACTAGTGGTCTCTGTGCCAGGGCTATGGGTGCTGCACAGCACTGACTGGGGTCTTCCCCACCCACTCATCGGCATATTTCTCATCATCTTCCTGACAGGTGACTTCTGGGTCTAAAGACAAGAGCTGAAGATGAAGGAGGACTGTCCACCCAGCTCTCATGTGCCTATCAGCGACAGCAAGTTCATTCTAAAGTAAGCTCTGCTGGGCGGGAAGGGGCTTGGGCAATGTGCTGTGGCCTGTCCCCTGTGCAGGATGCCGGGGATAGAGCTCTTTTCTGTAGATGTACCAGAGCACCCTGTGGACAGTGGTGGATGCTTCTGTTGGTGGGGGGGGGTGCCCTTTCTTTGGAGATCAAGATATTCTTCAAGGTGTGGGTTTGAGTGGGAACCAGGACAGTACCCATGAGGCTCTGCAGTGACAGTATTTAATTTGTTTAAAGACTAGAATTGTATGAAGACTGTCATTAAGACAGTTTAAAACTCTAGTTGTGGGTTTAAATGTAAGAAGTGTGCTTTGGGATAGAAAGATGGTTCAGCGGTTAAGAGCACTAACTGTTCTTGCAGAGGACCTGAGTTCAGTCCCAGTACCCTCATGGTGCCTCACAATCACTGGTGATTCCAGTTCCAGGGGATCTGACGCCCTCTTCTGGCCTCCACAGACACCAGAGGCACATACATGGTACACATACATGCATGCAGACAAACACACAAATAATATAAAAATAATGACTCTTTTAATGTGTATCTTATTGATATATTTTTAACTTTGCATATTTTTATTTACTCTGTCTCATAAAAATATTTGGGATATTTTCTTAGCCTACCACTGAAGTAAAGAAAAGCATCACCTTTATTACATTTACATTTAGTGTGTGAGTGTGCACATGTATGTGTATATGTGGCTCAGAGGACAACTTTCAGGAGTCAGTTCTCTGCTTCCACCATGTGGGTCCTGGGTATCAAACGTGCATTGTCAGCCTTGGTAGCAAGCACTTTCGTTTGCTTGTCCCACCCTAAAAAGCATTTTTTACATTTTTATGTTGTTTTCATTTTATCTTGCATTTTGAGTCCTAAGTACAAATACTTCCAGAGTTTGGGCATGATTAACTTCATGTAAGTATGTATTTCCTAATAATTCTGGGTTCAGCATTTACATGCTAATGGGGATACGGTATAAATGCAGCATTACCTCTTGTCTTGTTAATGTCACCAACTTACACATTGATTCTCACATCACACACAGGCCACACACCTGAGCCGCTCAATGGTGTCACTGTCCTCACACCGTGGTGTTTGTGTGCAGAGGGCAGACCTGCATAGGAAGGTGCTAGAACACAGAGGTCCAAAAGGGGACTGTGGCCAGGAAAGTATGGTTCTCGTAGAACACTCCAGATGACAAACATTTCACACAGTAATTTACTGGCTCTCACTGATTCCATGTTTACAGGAAAGCAATTCAAACAGTTATTCAGTAAGTATATCACACTAGTTTTACCTAGAAGGTGAAGGATCACTTGTGTGTCTCACATCCTGTGCCCCCGGCCTCTGGAGGTGCTACTTTGGTCTTCTCCATGCTGCCTGTGAGCAGGGCACTGTTGGAGAAAGTGTTCGGACAGAGCTGCCACTCTGGGCCCTGCCACCTTGATCCCAGCATTGTTCCCTTGGATGGTCATGATAAAGAAGAGGGAGGCACCCCGCTCCCCAACACCCACAGCATCTGGTAGTTCAAGCCCAGGAAATGAATCAGAGGCGGGTGCAGGGAGGCTGCCAGGGATGTTCTTCTCGTGTGATACTAAGAGCGTGCACACACCCTAGGTGTTGCCTGTGGGACGGGAGTTGCCGATGCGTTTTCTTTCTCAGCCCCTTCACCTTGATTCCCCTTCTTCCCCAGTTCGTACTAGAGACCAGATCCGGCACCTGCTGAAGGGTGAATGGGCAAGTGTCATGAGAGAGCTGTCAGGTCTCTTGATTGATTACATGGGCTGGTGAAGTATGTGCTGTTATACCCACTTCACAGATGAAGAAACTGAAGCCAGTGAAGTCAAACACCTTGTCCAGGGTCCCTCTACTTCTCAAGGGTACATGTATATCTTTGTCTTCTTAGGTCAGAACTCTTAAGCCTGCTGAAAACCTACAACTGCTACCATGAGGGCAGGAGTTTCCAGCTGAGACACCATGAGGTGAGGCTCACTACCCCGTCTGTTTCTAGGGTCATGGTTTATCCCAGCTGGGGCTGACACCTGTTGTTTCAGGGGACATGAAGCCTAGGCCTCTTCACTCCCCAGGTGTCCCAGGTTGGATAATAAGGTGCATGTTCCCTCTTGTCAAACTCGGAACTGGTTTGCATGCAGGTGGAGTAGGGCTGGAGCGTCCCTGTGAGGGTTCAGGAGGAAATCACCTGTGTGCCTCCCCTCCATCCAGGTGCAGTCTTAGAGCCTGCCTAGCCTGTTTCTCCCTCTGTACATGGTCCCACTCAGTGATGGGATGAGGGAGGCTGCTTCTGTGACCTGAGCAGTCCAGCCAGCTGTCCATATTCTCACTGTGTCCTCCTTCAAAAGTGCTGTGTTGGCCTGGTCTTGGGGGCACAAACTCATATACCAGTGAGTGACCAGGCTGGGAACCACTCAAGGGCAGCTCAAGCAGGCCCTGGGTACCCACCATCTACAACCTCCAGACTCTGTGCCGGTGCCTCAGTGGTGACTTTATGCCCTCAGCTGGAGTCCTTTTTATAGCCTAATGGTAACGCTCACAGTGCAAGGCTTTATGTTATTTGGAGGGTTCCATGGTTGGGATCGGGTTGGCCTCTGGGTGTTTTCCACCGCTCATGTCTGAAGAGGGCCAGTAGAAAATGACCGAGGCTTTGGCCAGGTGGAAGCCGTGGGCTCACTGACCCTCTCTTGTTAATTATTCACCAGCTAACAACCTTCCGTGGTACAGGGCCAGTCAGCCAGGCAACCTCAGGGAGGTACCAAGACATGCCATGAGCCAGGCCTGACCTGCTTGGGACTTCTGTCATGTAGAGCAGGAGGTCTGCAGGTTCTCGGTTCAAGTAGGGCTGGGCTGCCTGTGACGTCAGAGACAGAGCCCTCCTGCTCAGCCCTCCTGACCCCTCAGTTTGAGGCTTTGGCTGCAGTGCTGACCACAGCTCCTCTCCCTGCCTCCAACTCGATGCTGTCTTGTGCTCTTCCCTCTGCGAGGCGCTGCTGCATCAATGCTGTCCTTCCCTGCCTGCCCCCAGCCCTCCCAGCCCAACACAGCTTCTTCCTGCCCTCCCAGCCCCACACAGCTTCTTCCTGCCCTCCCAGCCCAGCACAGCTTCTTCCTGCCCTCCCAGCCCCACACAGCTTCTTCCTGCCCTCCCAGCCCAGCACAGCTTCTTCCTGCCCTCCCAGCCCCACACAGCTTCTTCCTGCCCTCCCAGCCCAGCACAGCTTCTTCCTGCCCTGGCCTGCCTCTCATCCTACTGCCATCCTTTAGGTTTCTCTGGCTCTTTTCTCAGCTGGGTGCTGAATTTCTGGGGCTGAGCCCCAAACACAGCTGTTAGCTGAGCAGCTAGCTGGTGCAGGCCTGGGCCCCTCAGGTTGAGAAGAGTCCTGGGTCCTGAGCTCCAGTGTGATGGGCAGCAGGGAGTGGGAGGGAGGCAGGGCAAAAGGGATCAGAGGGGTTTTGGTGTTTCACTGTGCTGCTAAGTGAATTATTGGTGCCCACTCTAGGATCCTGGCACAGGCACAGGTACTGGGAGGGTCTTCCAACTGAAGCTTAGGGCCTTCTGGGATGCATCTAAGACATCACTAGGGACCTGATTAGATATGTAAATCTACACACACACACACACACACACACACACAAAGCACACACAAAGCACATACACTGTACACATACATATACCACAAACATACCACACAAACACTCCACACACACCACACATAACACATACACCGCACACATACACATACCACAAATACTCCACACACATACACTGCACACATACACATACCACAAACACACTACACAGACACTGCACACATACCACATTCCCACACCACACATAACACATACACTGCACACATACACATACCACAAACACTCCACACACATACCACACACACCACACACACACACCACACACACACACACACACCACACACACACACCACACACACACCACACACACCACACACACACAACAGAAAGGCAACCCACGACAGAGCAAACTATTGCACCAAAGTCCAGCTTGGAGAACCAGTGAGTTGTTACTGTGGTTACAGACAGGAGTATTCATGAGAGGTTGTTATGGAACTTCTGGGCCACAGCTTGTGCTCCAAGCCCAGGTTCGTCCACCCTTCCTCAACAGAACAATTAAAAGAGCCAAATTAACAGTAGGAAGCAGAAAAAGGAGATTTACTCAACATGGCCACATTCGGAAAGAGAGACAAAGAGATCCAGCAAACCCCGCCAACATCTGTCTTCAGGGTCCTCAAGTGAGATTAAAATTGAAATAGAGGGCCAGGGATGTGCACCTCCAAGCAGTCCTGGTCAAGCCGTGGCCCCGCCCACCACTGACCCATCATTGTTTGTGCTTCAGGCTCATCCTGCAAGGGGGTCTGGCAAGTTGTTAGAACTGTGTCACATCTGTTTCTGGGAGACCAGTTCCCCTTCTGACCAGGGCCTTTCTTGCAGCATGAGATTCCTGGGGGAAGAGTCCCGTTTCTTCAGTCCATTGTTTGAGTTGTCTGCGTGAGAGTCAAATTGAGAGCCACAAATGGCTTTTTAAAACATCTTAATTTCTGCTAGGCCACTTACAAGGGCATGGATGACTCTAAACTCACCCTCACTTGGCTTGGGTGGCCGCTCCTCAAAGCTCTGCAGTGTGGGAAAACTCTTCTCTGCAGCTGGTTGGCCTGGTCAGTGTCCTCTCCTGGGATACAGTTTGTTTACTTCCTGAGTCTCAGGAGTTCCACCATGCCCCTCTCCCCAAAGCAATGTTTCAGTTAGGAAACTGCCATATAACACATTGGAGTGACCAAAGCATGCTGACACACTCAAGTTTGAGCACATCTGTTTAGAAGACCGCAGTGCCGTTTGCAGCATCAAGGCTTAGGCTTAGAGGCCTTCGGAAGTCTGTATTGGGCGTCACCAAATAGGTCTTGGGGACACAGGCAGTGTGTTACTCTTAAAAATATACTTTATTATTTTTATTTATATATGAGTGTATTCCCTGAATGTATGTACATGCACCCATGTTGTGTAATATCAGCAGAGGTCAGAAGAGGGCATCAGATCTGCTGGAACTGGAGTTATGGACAGTTATTAGCTGCCATATGGGTGCTGGGAATTGGATCCAGGTCCTCTGCAAGAGCAGCCAGTGCTCTCAGCCATTGAGCCATCTCTCCAGCTCCCCAGTGTGTTACTCTTGACCCCTAGGCTGAAGTGCTTACCACTTGGGTGTGTGCCCTGGAAGACACCCCATAGCATAGGCTTTCCTGGCAAAAACTTGCAGCCGGGGGTGTTACAGTTTTGGGGCACCCTCCTTCAGTGTCACTTCCACACCTAGGATAAGTATTTCCCACCCAGTGACCCTCCTCCAGATTACTAAGTGCTAGGAGGAGAAAGTCCCCCCTCGAGTAGATGACGCACCAGCCCCCTGTACTCTAAAACTTGCCTTTGGGATAATTTGGTTCCATTACAATGAAAAGCCTAACAACTTAGAGCAATCAGTGCCTTTTGAAAATGGCAGTTTTAATCAGGCTGAGCGGTGGGTGTCTCTGGAGAAAAGCAGGCTACACTGGAAATGCTGGTGTATAAACCTTTCAGTGTGAGAATAGGCCATGGGCCCCACCCAGGGTCTGTGCAGTGGCTCACTGCCCCTCTCTGGTGGCCATGAGCACACACTGCATCCACTTTAGTTCTGCCCTATAGGAGGAACTGAAAGAGCTTTTTTCTATTTCTCTCTCTCTCTCTCTCTCTCTCTCTCTCTCTCTCTCTCTCTCTCTCTCAGATGGAAGTGCTCTCTCTCTCTCCTGTCTCTATATAGCCTTGCCTATCACCTTAAATTTCCTAGCCTTTTCAACTCCAAACTGCATGATTTTGTATTTCTTTCTGTCCCATTTGCTCATTTCATTGTAGATCTGCATAATACTATTAATACATTCCGAGTCTTCCATGTGAGGTGGATCAGAGAACCTTCACTAGGTTCCATTAGCATCTTTCACAACAGAGAATATTTGAGAGGGTCCCCTGACTGTGTTTTTACAGCAGAGTGATTTCTGAGCATGTGGATACCCACTAATGTCATGCCAGTTGCCAGGAGACTCTGGCTGGCCCAGTTTTCATACCGCTTTGCAGAAGGGACTGCAAAGAGGCTGGGCCTAGCAAGCCTGCCTGTTCAGTCACCAGCCAGGTACCCCCTATGTAGGTCAGTCCCCATCATGCCTGGGGACATTGTGACTAAGGCTGCCATACAGAAGGTCAATTTGAGACTGCTGAGGAGACACAGCAGGCTTGTTCCCTCTCCAGTCCATTTGTTCACTTACCCCACCCCGCAGGCAGTGGCGAACTAGGTTGGTGGCCTTTCCCTTCACAAAGAAACTGAACAAATCGCTTGTCTGAAACATTTCCTTTTCAGTGTGTGGTTTGTATTCTGTTTCCCAGAAAATACATTTAAAAGAGAACAGCAAAGCAATTAAACCCCCAGCCTAACATGGAAGAAAATAGATCCACAGTGACTAAGCAGTGACATTCCCAACCTCAAGCAGAATGAGCAAGTGCTGCGGCCCCACTTCTGTCCTCTCCTCTCTCTTGAGCCCTTTAGTCCTGACCAGGGTCAGCTGGCTTGCCTTAGGACGTCTGGGCGCCAGCAAAGTGGGTTGGACAACTTCCTGCTTGCATCCCACAACAGGGAGTCCAAGGTAAAGGCCCCAGGTGAAGATGGTGGGAAAGGCTGAGGACAGATAGACCCCAGGCCACCAGATCAAGGGTGTGTGGTACCCTGCAGGCTGAGTGGTGAAGACTCTGTTTGAGCTGTGAGCATGGGACCTCCCTAGTACTATGGTGAGACTTGTGTATCTGCTTAGACCTCATGTTATTTTGTTGCTCCTCATGAAATAAGCATCTAAAGGTGAGGAAGAGTCCAGGCCTTCGCCTGGCAGCTTCGGAGGAGCTAAGACACCTCCCTCAGCCCCTTGCACTTGGTTCTACCTGTGACTATGACAACCACCCAGAGTACAGCGTGCATTTTTTTTTTTTTTTCATTAGAACAGCCAGGAAGGAAGTTCCTCCAGTTACTGCCATTTTCATCACAAGAAAATCAAGAAGTAGAGACACCAAGTCACTTGATCAGGTCAACAAAAGAGCCAGTCACAAACATGACATGTCAGGTTTCAAACCAGCCTGTCATCACTCACAGGAGGACTGTCACTAGGAATTACCAAAGCCAGCAGCCCCTGAAGACAAGCACTGCCCTCCCAGAGACCTGCCAGGAGAGGGAGGCTGGAGAGACCATGGACCCATCATGCTCTTTATAAACCTTTATTAGTGGAGGGTTAGAGTTCATGGATCACTGGGAGGTGCAAGTAGAGACTTCTGAGGATGCTGCAGGGGCGGGAGCTGTGGGCAGAAGCTGAGGCCGGGCAGAGCTTCCTAGAAGTCCAACTTTTCAGGTTGGAGGTCTGGTGCCTGTTCTGAGACTGTCCTGCCAGAAAGCGCTCAGGCATCCCGGCCTCACAGAGCCTCTTCCTGTTCTTGTCCATCTGTTTATGCATACTCCAGTAGCCATCCGAGGGGCAGGTTCCATTGTCTCTTCTGTTTGCCTGCTGTTCCCGGGACTCCCCAAAGAGCCAGTCCAGAGGGTCGTGAGTACCAGCAGAGGGCAGTGTGGGCTGCCAACCACCGGAGCAGGGCTTGCTGTCTCCTGGAGACTTAGCCTGTGGTCTCTTTTCAGTGATCCGTGCTGGACGGTGAGGTCTGTTGGATTGGCTTCTGACTGTGGCTTTGTCCAGCACAGGGGTGGGCTGTGCCAGCTGACAGATAGACTTCACGTAGTCATCCAGGCTGGGAGAGTTTGGGGACTCCTGCCCAGGACCCCCAGGCGATGTCTCCTCTGAGGTTTCCCGAATTGTGGGCATGTGGGCCACAGACAGCAGAAGCCGAGATCTCATTGCTGAAGGTAAAGCAAAGGCAACACCCTGTGGACCAAGAGAAGAGAGGTGGTGAGGACCTACCATGCCATGCTGACACACTTCTGTGCCCCCGCCCCCCATCACTAAGTGGCTGCATAGGACTCGGGTGCATGGAGGGCAGTGTGAAATCTGCAGATTGATCTGAGACCAGGATGTAGATTCCTGGGCTCTTCCTTCCCCCTAGCATCAAAATCTACATACTTAAGACTTCATCGTTAGTGTAACTTAAGAATGTGCACATAACACACAGCAATGGTGACAGGTGGACAAGTCCTATGTATGCTCAAGGCAGACAAATCCCAGCATAGACATGAGGAAGTGGGTAAGAAACTCCAACCCTGTCTGAAGAACTGTTGGCAATTGATGGCTGCTGGGAGGGAGCCAGTCAGTCTCTTTCAAGGATGAGACTCTTGGTAAGTTAACCAGGTTCCAGTGGATAGATCCACAAAGAAGGGAATTTGAGGACACAAACTTGACTCTATAGGCATACATATTAGAATACATGAAACTGATCGGGTAGTAAGCGGGTTGCAGACAGGGGAAGGGAGCTAAATACAATCAAATATATTGTATAGAATACAATCAAAATATATTGTATACAATTCTCAAAAATTCAATTAAAAAAAAGGAAAAATGTGCACAGAAAAAGAACCCAACTGCACTAATGTGGGGTCAGAGGAAACCCAGGTTTTGAACCAGGATCTGCTACTAAATGACCTGGAGTCCTTTGGCAGTGTCACCTCTCCAAGCCTCTACTTATGAAAACCCCTTTACCATAGTCATTAGTGACACCACCTGATCTACCCAGCAGTAAGGCTGTAAACCCTCAGGCTCAGAAATTCCCCTAAAACAAAGCAGCTCCCATGATTTGTCTCAAATCAGAAGGCAATTAATTGCTCATCTTACCTCTAGCTGAGGGGCGAGGTATCAGGGAGTCTGGGCCAGCAAGGTCTATCTAAGGAAGCACCCTGGAAGCTTGGGGAGATGAAGCGGGCATTCACAGCCAAGCGTCCAGTGCTTGGTCACTGGGAAGAGGATGATCAGGACGATGCACTGTGGTTCCAGGACCTTAGCAAGGGCTTCATCCTCTGTGCTGTCTGGTGAGCTTAGAAGCCTGTCACTGCTTTTATACCATTCCTTCAGTCACTGGTTACTGTCAGGAAAGCCCAAAATAGCAGTGCTTAGAAAGGTTCTCTGAGGAAAACAGCTTGGAGGGCGGGGCTTGGCCCAGCTGCCAGCCTGGAGCTTGTGTTTTTGCCTGTGGGAGGCTGGAGGATGTTTACATTGCAGAGCAGGGCACAGGGCAACCTTCTCTCCTGGACTTGCAGTATCACTACTGATAGAGCCCCAAGAACATTAGGGGATGCTGTTGAGAGTCAGGGGGTGACGCAGGGCAATGTCTTTTCAAAGCAGTGCAAGAGGCCCTGTGAGGACAGTGTGCTGGGCATACTCAGGGGCTGTAAAGCCTGGTCCAGGTGGGAGGGCTCAGAAGACCTGAACGTGGACACCCAGAACAATGACAGGGCACTTCAGGATTTGAACAACGGTGCTGCAGTGTGGCTTCTGCCTGGCTGCCTTCTTGGGCTACTGAGAGGCCAGGGAGCACCTGGGCAGGAAGGCCAGGTGGGACCCAACTGAAGACAAGGTGACAGCCTTGGGAAAGCTGAGAACAGAGCTAGCAGTGCCCTTCTCGGGCCTCAGATCTTCTAGCCCAGCCTCTGCCCACCTGTAACACACCTGTCTTCTGTCCTCAGGTGGGGGAAGAAGAATCACATAGGGGAGCACTGTCCAGGCATGATATGTGAGGACTGGACAGACCCTGGACTCTTGCAGTCGGGAGAGGGGCTGCCGGTTCCATGTTGTTTCATTCTCGATGTGACATTAATGCCACATGGGCAGAGGCGTGGGGTACTGGAGACACTGAGCGCCACTGCAGTGGGTGGTGGTCCCCACCTTGCCAGCCCGTAAACCTGAGCTTCCATAGAACGGTTGTCTCTTTTTCTGGATCTTTGAATGTATTAGCAATTGGCTAATTAGTTGAGAAACTGAAGAGAAAAAGTTGATGCTGAAGGCCAGCCTTATGGGTGAGGTTCAGTTGGCGGTACCACAGGGTCAGCAGACTGACCGGTTCTGGCCCTGCTTTTGCCTGTGAGCACTTCCCCACCTGTGTCCTCAGGCTTGGCAGCTATGCTCTGGTCACAGCTTTCTTTTGATCTGATGAATGTGATCAGAGACTACTGCAGACTGACAGGGCTCCCTCCCAAGTGTGTCCGCGCCTGAGTCCAGCTTCAGTCCCTTGATCAACTGTGGCACCTCCTTCCTTCCACTCTCCTACTCCATAGGGTTCCTCCTGCCACCCCTTCACTGCAAGGTCCCCAAACCTTCCTCCTGTGGGATCTTGGGAAGCCTAGCCCTTGAATGTCCAACCTCACCACCCTGCCCCAACTGTGCTCTTTGCCTCACTCCGGAGTGGGACACCTGACCCTCCTCCAGGCCATCCCTCACACAAGTGTTGGTTAATTTCACTCTCTCCTCCGGAAATCTCCAGGATCTCTTCTGGGTTCTCAGGTAGCAGAGAGCACCTGCCTACCAGCCTGGCTTCCTGTGACTTGTTTTCTGGCCATCTTCTGCTGTTTTTCTCCTGCCTTGGCCCAGGCCAGTCCTGCTGTTAGGAGCACCTGCTACCCCATCCTTTTCACCACCCCACCTTTAACTATCTTTTGGGGCTCAGTACACTTTCTCCAGGTCGCCCCTCAGCTCTCCTACATCCAGAAGCGAACCACTGGTGTTCAGGCTGTGGCTGCTTCATCACTCTCTGCCTGGAGCCTGGTGTGGGGCTAGAAGGAAGTGGATCTCCACGTAGCTGAAATGTTCCGGGTAGGACAGAGGCTAGAGACAGAGGCACTCCAGGCCACGTGTTTTCGTTGGGGTCTCTGCTGCTGTGATAAAACACTGACCAAGGGTGACTAGGGGAGCAAAGCATTTATTTGGCTTACACCTTCCAGGTCATAATCTGTAACTGAGGGAAGTCAAGGCAGGAACCTGGAGCAGAAACTGAAGCAGAGACCATTGAAGATGCTGCTTATCGGCCTGCTTTCTCTGGCTTGCTTGGCTGCCTTCCTTATATAGCTCAGGCCCACCTGCCCAAGGATGGCACTGCCCAGAATAGGTTGGGCCCTCCAACGTTGGTTAGCAATCAGGAAAATGTGCTGCAGACATGCCCTCTCTTTCCAAATATGTCTAGGTTTGTGTCGAGTTGACAAAAGCTAACCATGAAAACTATAACTGTTCCTGTGGCTGAGAGGTGGCTCAACAGTTAAGAGCACTGACTGCTCTTGCAGAGGACCCGAGTTCTAATCCTAGCACCCATAGGGCAGCTAACAACTGTCCATAGCTCCAGTTCCAGGGGATCTGATGCCCTCTTCTGTCATCCGCAGGCATTGCATGACATGGGTGCATTTACATAGATGTAGACAATATAGTCATACACCTAAAATAAAAATAATAAATGAAATACTAAAAAAATAAATGATAACATTTCCTTCCCCAAGTTGGTTTCGGTCAGTGTTTTGAAAGAAGCAAACAGGAACAGAAAGGCAAATGGAAGCCAAGACAGAACTGAATTGAATGCAACCTTGGCTTGAATGAGAACTTTAGTCTATAGATCAGTGTCAGCCTTTCCTTTATGAGTGCCGAGGCAAGCCTCCCAGCCGAGCCTGCATTTGATCAGTGAGGATCAAAGTTAACCCTAGTATTTTCTTGTTGGCCTGAATTTTAAAAAAGAAAACAAATGCTGCAAGGCCGTATTAGAAAGCTTGTGTATTTCTGCTAACCTTAGATTGTTTTCTCTGGATGAGAGAGTCTTTGAAACTAGAGACCATTACTAAGTCACCGTGAGAGCCACACTGTGAGTACTGCTGAGCTGTGAAGAATTGTCTGTGGCACTGCTGTGCTCACAAGACTTTCCATAGAATCGACAATAAATCAAACTCCTAGAAGCGAAGAGAAGAATGATGGTTATCAGCGTTGGTGGGGAAGGGAGGGAAGTGGGGATTGTTGTTTGTAAGGCTGCAGTTCTGCAAGCTGAACAAGTCTTAGGGCTACACAATGCCCACAGTGAACAATTCTGCATTGAAGATTTAAACATCAGAGTGTGTGTCTTCAGAGGACGCCGCCCCCCCGCCCCGCCTTGGTGGCCCAATCATATCCTTCACCACTGTGCCTTAGAATCACCCTTAGATGCATCCATTGAGGCAGAGGAGAAAGCTGGTCTTAGTGCTCAGGGTCCCTGGACTGGGAAGGCTGTTGGGACCCTTAATTAGAACCTCCATCTTTACCCTCATCCTTTGTGTTCACAAGAATCTCTTCAGAGGTCAAGACGTTAGTCATCATGAATCATAGTTAGCAGGTCACCCCTGCTGGTTGATCTCACAGTTCAATATGGGGAGCCATGTTGCAGTTACAGTTTACCCCTGGTTTAAATGGTGACTATATACAGAACATCACTGAACAGATACCATGAAGAGAGGAAGACTGTGGGTCATATGTTAAAGTTCTCACCACAAAACTATGAAGTAAATAAATGAAGCATTGGGTGAGAGAGCAAGGAGGAAGTGACGCTGAAGCCTCCAGGGAGGTGGGGCCTGAGATTTCTGGCAGGTACTCTGACAGTGCACCTTCACATGGAGCGACTGTGTGTGTGTGCCGGGAATCTGGAGTGGTCCCATGGAGACAGAGGCCTGAGATAGGTCAGAGACAAAGAACCAAGGACACGAGAGGTTTAAACCAGAGGCAAGTGAGGTGCCTGTGGAGTAGAATACTATGGATTAGGGTGGGTAGCAGTTGTTTTATCTGCAGACCTAGGGAAATCAAGGCAGGTTGGGGACTCACCATGAAAGCTATTGCAGGAATACGGTGGAACATGGGGCTGGAAATCCCAGTATTGCTAAGCAAAGCAGCACCCGCCATCAGGAAAAAAAAAAATTGTGTATTTCTGGGCATGGACTTCCCCGGCTGCGCTTCCTCCCTGCGGTGTGGACGTGCTTGCTGGACAGTTGCTGTGTCCTGGGGGACACCTGACTCAGCAGCACCATGCAGACTCCAGCCCTGCCCTGGCCCAGGCCTGGGTTACTCAGTGGAAGGAACTCCTTGAGCTTCCTCCCACAGGATCCTGGCTTCATGTCCTGAAGCATGTATATACCGTGTGCTCTTCCCTGGGGGATAAGTGTGTCTGAGGGCTTGCCCAAGGGTCCTGTGCCTGAGGGGACACAGAGAGGATGGGCAACAGCCCTTTGGATGAGTGCTCTTCAAGGAGGCTGACCTATGTGGGTCCCACAGGAAGAAGGGGCTCTGATCATTGAGGGACTTCTCAACATCGCCTGGGGACTCAGACGGCCCATCCGGCTCCAGATGCAGGATGATCGGGAGCGAGTACATTTGTCCTCTGCTTCGTGGATGCCTGAAAAGCCCAACTGTCCCCCGTGAGTGCCTGGAAGGTGGGGCAGAGTCAGGGGTCTCTGTGATACCTGTCAACCTGAGCTCCACTCCGGTTTCTATGTGGGCTATCTTCAGCCTTGGGGTGGAGGACTCACTGCTGTATAAAGCTAGGGTGTGGAGCACAGGTCCACCACCCTCTTAGGCCCAGAGCTACCCCAGTGTTTTCTGACATTGCCCATCCCAGCATGCATACTTACCAAGAGTGGCCTCCATAGTGACAGTCATATGGCCTCCCTTCCTCCCTCCTGGAAAACAGCCATGCTCTCATCACCTTTCTTTTTAGTGCTGGGAACTGAACACAGGGCCAAGTGCTACACCACCTGGCTATGTCCTTAGCCCACTGGCACCACAGACATTTCTCTTCCTCTTACTACTACTTTTTTTTTAAGTGGCAGATTCTATTTTTTTAAACATCAAAATTTAAGATCAGATTTCTTTGACCATCAGGAGAGAGGCAGTCTGAGCTTTGCTGGCTTCTGCATGTAATGACTCCTCAGAGGCAATTGACCAGAACTTTGTTCCTTTCAGGTGTGCAGGTAAGCTGGATGTGGTAGCATGTACCTGAAATTGTAGTGCTCAGAACACTGAGGCAGGAGGACTGTGAGTTTGAACCCAAGCTGGGCTATGTACTTAGACACTATCTTAAAAAAATAAAGCATGCAGGGGCTGGAGAGATAACTCACTGGCCACGAGTGCTTACTAGGTTCTTGCAGAGGACCCAGGTTCAGTTCCCAGGGCACATATGGTGACTCACAGTTACCTGGCAGCTCCAATTCCAGGGGATCCAATGCCCTCTCTGGCCTCTGAGAGTTCCTGCATGTACTTGGTGCATATAAACTTATGCAGGAAAATACACATATACATAAAGTAAATAAATCTTAAACAATAATACGTGCAGATGAAACGGGTACTCTGGTAGCATGGAGCACATCGACACACCAGATCTCACCCCCAGGTATCCCTGGTCACTCCTTCAAAAGTTTGAGTCACATACACAGAGCATAGAGACTCCTTGGAAAGGCTGCAAGCATAACTCGTTCTCCCTCCTCAAGGAAAAGCAGCCTCTCCCCGACTGACTCCCAGAAGCATCCCCTGTGTTTCCCAGGGAGCTCCTGCCTGATTCTCCCCAGCTTCTTCACACTGCATGCTCCCTACCTCCCTTCACACCCGTTCCTTCTCTAGCCCAGTACTGTCTTCCTTGTCTGGGGTTTGGTGTTACAAGACACCTGGGGGTTTGATCCCCAAGGCTAACTTACCTGACACCCCGTAAGACCCTCAACAGACCCAGCAAGCCCACTTGGCATGTATCTGCACAGGCACTAACCTGGCCGAGCCTGGTACCCAGGAACACATGGGCACTGGCTTTGTGCATGGTCTGTGATGCGGCCCAGAACATCCACTCATCCTACAGGGCCAGACTCCTCCTTCCAACCAATGCTGTGGAGGGTGCTTTCTTTTCTTGTTAAAATTCACTCTCCACAGCCTGTGCCGTTTCTCACTTCCGTCCTGCCCCAAGAAGCAGTGTTTCTTCTCTTTAGCAGTGTTACCTTTCTCTGCCATCAGCTACTTCATCAAGTGCTTCTCTGTTTTCAGGAAAGAAGCCCCACCTCAGGACCGCAGGGGAACTCCTGAGGAACCCAGTGCACAGCCTGTGCACAAGGCCGAGGGGTCCAAAGATAGCTCAGGTAAGTAAAGGCCACAAGAAACCCAACCCTGTCTTGAGGGCAGCACCTCCCAAACACAGCCTCTGAAGAACAGCGTCAGTGACTAGAGCATCTGTTTATCTTAAGAGAGACACTTACTAAACACCTACACAGCGGGAGGCAGTTTCCACATAGTCTTCGTTACCTTTATGGAAAAGGAAGCAGACACTTGCACAAACATCACCCTGTACCCTTGCCCTGAGTCCCCTGCACTGGGCTGTGATACAAAAAGGAAGAGGCTCCACAGAGCATGTAGCACCCTTCTGTCCCTCACACACTGCTCCAAGATCAGTGACCACTCACCTGTCCTCTTCACATCCTTCCCTTAGCACTCAGGAAGGACCTATCCCACAGTGGGTGCTCAGAGGATAGGACTGGAATGACCGAATACCTCAATGACTGCCATGAGACATACTGTGGCACTGACACAAGCTCTGTCCCAGCCTCTAATACGGAAGTTGCACTAACAGGATCATGTGCTACAGTTCTGTGTGAGAGGGAACCACACAGACCCAGCAGACAGAGCCGCTGCTAGAGCAAGGACACTTGCCGTCATCGCCCTCCACCTCAGGCATCGTTTGTTTCTGTAGGAACCCTGGTGGAGGAGGAGGAAGTCCCACAGCTTTTACGGACCCAGAGTGATGCCAGCTGTATGATCCAGCGGAGGCCCAAGTCCCGGGGGCCCAGCGACGCCCAGAGGATCCGACGGCACCGGTTCTCCATCAATGGGCACTTTTATAACCACAAGGTGATGTCCCAGTCTACCCTCTCCTAAAACTGAGAGCACAAGAGTTGGGTCCCAGCACAGACTAGCAGACCACGTGACACTCAGCATTAATCCTGTTTATCCAACAGCCTTCAGTGTAACTGTTGTCACCCCTGTGCTGAAAGATTCTGAGGAGTATCTTTCCCAAAGCCACAGCAACATGACCTTTCCCTTCAGAGCCAGTGCTTTCCCACACAGTCACTATCCAACCATGCCCTAAATTGTGTGGATTTGGGGCAAGTAAGCTATAAGCAAACAATAATGGAAAATTTATCTTCAATGAGCCTATTTCTTTGAGATTTCCACCTGAGTTCAATAGATCATTCTGTGGGAACATCATGTATCCAGCTGTTCTTCTCACTGGGTAAATGAAACTTGATAACGAGGTGTGCCCAGAGGCATGTGTGTCTCTTCCCAGAGAACCCGGGGAACTCTGGGTTCCCAGCACATGGCCCTTTGTTAAAGTACGCATTCTACTAACCTTAGAGAAAGCTCACCTTCCCCCTAATTGCATCACTCCTTAAACAGAAGGAACTGTAAGGAAGAAGTTGATTGTTACTATAAATGGAGTGAGTGGCCTTCTGGGTGAGGCCCTGTTTGGAATGACCTGTGACAGACTATTTCCTGCCATGGTGGGGACTGAAGGGGAGGTTTCCAGTTGGAATAGCTAGCCTTCTTAATAGAGGATGACTCATAGGAAGGAAGGACAAATGGAAGTCTGGGGGACAGAGATGACGGAGCAGGTAGCCCAAACCAGGCTTTCCAGGGGCCAATGAAGCCACTTTTGGGGTACCTAGAATTCAGGAGAAATATTTCAGCTTAGCAAACTGAAGAGTCCCTGCCTTAACCCCACCGCCTTCTTTCCCTCATTAGGCGTGCAATAAGTGTTAATAAGTGACACAGGGTTTCTTTTGCTAAACCAGAGAAATTCAGTACTATTAGGAAACTGAATCTCTTAAGAGAGCAAAGGAGGAGCCCATGTTGAATTTACATGGAGCTTAGGAACTGTGCAGACTAGCCAGAGGACCCAGAATGGGACTTGTCGCTCTTTAAATATTGTTCCAAAAGGATTTAGTCTGCAAAGCGTCAAACGGTAGTAGTTAGTATATGTATAAATATTTGTATGATATGCTATTTTAAGAAACAAAAAATATGGAGAAGTTTAGGCTCTTTCTAGTGGAGAGAGAGAGAGAGAGAGAGAGAGAGAGAGAGAGAGAGAGAGAGAGAGAGAGAATCTTTAAATCAAATACTGAAATGGTTTAGCTCTGGTACATTGACTTCTCTAGCGTTTCATTCACCTGTAAGAGGTGTCTAACATATTACACTTTACCTTATTCATTTCAGATATCATAGGAATGATGTTCAGGCATTCTAGATAAACAGAGAGGGCTGTTGTCTGTCATGATGGCCTTCATTTCCATGTGAACCACCTTCTACTCAGCCTGTTACCCAAAGAACATATTTACCTAGGGAAAGTGGATATATCCTTCCAGGAAGAGTTTTTTTAGGCACTTGAACAATTTGTTCACATCTCCTAGGGGAGAAGAGAGTCCCCAAGAAAAAACACTACACAAAAGTCCTGAAAACCCATTTCTTGAGAGATGAGTCACAAGGATCACGAGTTTACAGACAGCATGGAGAGGCTTCGACTAAAATGAAACAGAAAGCCATCTGTTTTTGCGTCCTTGACCTCTACACACAGTTAATGTTCTTAGAAATTAGGGTACATATTCTTAAAGTCACAGAAAATAATACAGAATAATTCCCCATGTTGGCTTCCTGCGCAGCTCCAGGTTTTCCTTCCGATGACTGTGCTCATCCTTTACTCAATCATTTTCTCAAACTGTTATGTTTTCTCAGACTGAGTGATGATTTTATTCATAGACCCAGTGAAACACTAGCTGTTCCCACCACTTTGTCCTGGCCACTGGGATCAAATGTGGTCTGCTGACATAAGAAAGTAGTTTCCTACTTGGAATTGATTGGTTTCATGTTGAGGACTGGCTTTGTACAGAATGAACACTAAGACCTGTTGACAAGACTTCATCTCCTTGAAGTAGCTGAATGGCTGCTTTCCATATTTCTTCGAAACTGAAGTTCTATTTCCCGCATAATGTATAACACGGAGTCCTTCTGGGTCTCAGCTGGAATTAGCAGGCCTGCTGCAGAGGACTCAGTTTTGCTGGGAGGTGCCAGCACCAGCGGGGGTAGCACATGTGGTCTTAAGCATTGCAGAATGCTTCATCATGGTACAGTCCTTTCCAGATGGGTGACTGTTGCTAAAATTCCTTCTGGGAGGCACGCACAGCATCTGGCTCCCTCCTCCCACTGTTCTTTTGACAAAACAAGGTATAATTTCTCCAAACTACAGGAATTTATTGGATTTATACAGATCAATGGGTGAGGGGTTTACTTACAGAAGTGTGGGCATGGTAGGCTCCCCTTTCTATTGGGGCAGGGACTCTGTAACCTCCTGGTAATTGCCCAAGATGGCAAAGGTCACCCCCTCTCTTTGGCTTCCCCTCCTCCTATCCTTAGTCCCTCCCCCATGTACCACTCAGGCCAGCTGGTTGGATGGAAGGCATGCTGACTCTCTCTGTACCTCCTCTCCTATGGAAAGTTTCTTTATGGTGATCACAGCAAGTGGGTCAGAAGAGAAGAAGGCATCCATCCACTGCTTGCCAGTCTTATCTTGCCAGGAGGAAGAGAAGTCCATACAACAGGCCTTGAGCAGACATTTAGCCTCCCTAACTTTAGGTTTCTTTTCTCCCTAACTTTATGTTTCTCTTCAGAAAAGAAGAGAATCTTAGGTACTTCAGAGAGCTATTGTGAGAATTAAAGAATATATATAAAACACTTCGCAACTTTAACACAGGCAATGTTTTTGGAGGACTTAACAAGCCTCACACAATTTCCTTGGTAATTTTGACTTACAGTGAGGCTGTATCCTGATATTAACCCATCATAAGTTGAAACTGTAAGGCAAAATGGATCCACTACACCTAACCTACTGGTCATCACACATCATGGCTCATCAGCACAATACTGTATAAGTGTTGCTTGTACCCCCAAATGATCATGTTGCTAATTGGGAACCGTAGATATTGCTGTTGCCCAGCATCGGGAAAGCATTATACTGCATATTGCTACCCTAGAGGGAAAATCCAAATTTAAAGTTTGAAATATAGTTTCTCCACTTTTTGCACCATGATAAAGTTGAAAAATCATGAGCCACACCATCATAAATTGGGGACCATCTGTATGAGGTGTTATACAAAAAGGCAAGATATTTGCAACAATATAGCATGCCCCCCATATACAATTTTTTTTTCTGGAGAAATCAGGCATGCTGGTTTAATTCTGTAATACTATTTTGAGGTCAGCTTAGGTATGTCGTGGATTTAAGGCCACATAGTGAAACCTTGTCTAAAAATAAAGATGAACAGCAAGGCGACAAGGGCTGAGGTTGTATCTTCAGAGTGGTGGGGTACTTACAGGTGCTGAGCATGTGCAAGGCCCAGGGTTCAATCTCCAGGACCACAATAAAAGTAAAAATTGTTTGCTCAGCATGGTGTTGCCCACCTGTAACCCTGGCACCTGGGAGAGTAAGGCCAGAAAGTCTTGAGTTCTACCCCAGCCTGGCCTACATGTATGCATGCATGTTTAAATAAATAAAAGTAAAGATTGTGAATTTATCCATGTAGTTGGAGCACAGGGTACTTGGTTGAGGGTATCCTGGCATCCTATGTGCCTAACAGTGAGAGAAGTTGCTCACATATCATTCAGGCCATTTCATAGGTGGTTCTGACATTGTATTATACAGATTATAGGCCTGACATTCTTCTCCAAAAGCTTCTGATTCATCAGGTCTAGTTTCGGGTGGGAGATGTAGGAAGACAAAGGTGGGGCTTATGAAGCTGGGCCAGACCATACTTTGAGATTCAGGGTGTCATAAAAAGTGTGGAGAATGGACTGTAAGGTTGAAAGGAAGGAGCTTGTTGGGAAGCTCTACAGAGTGTGTGAGGGCCTCTGCTGGGCACCATTTGGAGGTGTGGAAGAGGGGACAGATTTGGAAGCTTTCGGTCTAAAGTTGACAGTCATGCGTTGATGAAATCAGTTGAAAGAGCGAAGGAGAGCCCCACTCCCCAGTGAATCACTTCCAGGTCCCTGGTTTCTAAGATCCAGAGTTGCCACTGATGGGCATGTACAATGCTAGGCATCTTCCTTAGAGTGCTCTCAGGACACAGACTATAGTAGCCCCCTGACTGCTCCTAAGAACAAACCAATTGGTCATGGGTTTACATGAACTGGTAGGGTCACGTGTTGCCAGAGGTGTCCTCCTGCGGCTTGGCTCTATTCAACACTGTAATGTTAACCAGTGTCTCACCATGAACTGTCCTCCTGCTCTGCACAGACCTCTGTGTTTACTCCTGCCTATGGGTCCGTGACCAACGTTCGAGTGAACAGCACCATGACCACCCAGCAGGTACTCACCCTGCTGCTCAACAAGTTCCGGGTAAGTCTGACCGCAGGGAATGCTGGTACTTCACTGATGAGTGGGGAGGAGGACTGAAATGGCTGGGCTTGGTTGCCCTGGCTACTGGGAAGAAGTCCAGCAAAGTTTCCTCTTCTGAATGGCTGTCCCTAGGGTTTCAGGCAGGGCGGTGTTCAGGGTTGGTCTATTCCCTTTCATCTCAAAATGCCATGGTCTGATTTCTTGCACCTTCCTCTGCAGGTTGAGGATGGTCCCAGTGAATTTGCACTCTACATTGTCCACGAGTCTGGGGGTAAGTGCTAGCTAGCTCTGGGTGTCTGCATGGCAAGCTTGCTATTGTGCGCTTTTCTGAGGGTCCTAGCTGTAAGTGCCTGCTGGCCGCCCCCCTTCATTAAGATACACTGTGCCTCTGCTGCTCACTTTCCCCACCCAAACTTGCTTTCACCCTGAGAATTCCACTAGAACAGTGTAGGACATATCCTTTCCAGCCTCTTCACATGAAATAACTATTCTCTAGTTCAGTATGACTCAGGAAGGCAGAACCTGTGCCAGTGGCTGTATCCTGGAATTCCTGCTGCAGGGCCCATGTGTCTCTCTGGCTACTCTGCGCCTCTTCTCCCTGAGCTAAGCCTTGAGTGACACTATAGGATGGGAAAAATCTTTTCCTTCTATTTAAGTTCACTGGCTAGGCCTGTAAAGCAGATTAACCAAAGGCAGGTTTGCAGGATAAAAATAGATTTGTTAATGGGTCATCACACATGGCCATGAACGTGCCCAGAGATGAATCACTCCAGAGCTGTGCCTAGAACCTTTGCTATAGCAAGAAGAGCAGCTTTCTGCTAGTTTGTTTTTGTTTTTGTTTTGTTTTGATTTGAGACAGGGTCTCACTATGTAGCCCTGGCTGGCCTGGAACTCACTATGACTGATGTGCCTGCCTCTGCCTCCTGAGTGCTGGGACTTAGAGGTGTGTGCCACCAAGCCCTGCATGAAAGTCAGCTTTTAGAGACGTGCAAGATAAAACCAAAGAGCTTTGAACCAGACTGGTAACTAGGAGGACGGTCAGTGTGCCCAGAGCTAACGGAAGATGAAGACACATTTGCATAGCATTCACTGTGTTGATTCCTCTGCTGCTGTCTCTGGGCTAGCAAGGGTCTAGAGTCGTGTCTAGTGTTTGACTTCTGTCTTTGGTAGAAAGAGGATGAGAGCCCTCAACAAGCTTATGTTAGGCAAGGAACAGCAGTGTTTTTCTGTTTCTTCTCAACTTGCCTTGGCTGGACATAAGCCAGAGTCAAGGTAGCCTGTACTATTTCCCTTCAATGGGATCGCATGTCTCTCAAGATACAGATCCAGCAAGGCCTAAGAAAGATTCCCCGGGCTCCATGAACCCCTGCTTTCATCATACTCCTGTCCCAGATAACAAAGAGGGGTGATCCTAGCATCCCAGGAATTTTGTAAATTGCCTTTTATTTCAGAGCAAACAAAATTAAAAGATTGTGAGTATCCACTGATAGCCAGAATCTTGCACGGGCCTTGCGAGAAAATCGTCAAGATCTTCCTGATGGAAGCCGACTTGAGCGAAGAAGTACCCTACGATGTGAGTCAGTGGTGCTGAGGCTGGAAACCTGTTCCACAGGGAGGGGCTGGGAGGCAAGGCAGGGTCCCTTGAGGACTCTAAAGGGAATCTTGGCCAGAGTCCTCTCAGGCATTGTGTCCTGAGTGTCCATAGCTGACTCCTGTCAGTTAAGGGGAAAAAAGAACTGGGGTCCTAGGAACCCCCAGCCCTGTTCTTTTCTTCATAAGCAAGTAAAACAATTTCCTTCGTTGGAGCATATTTTTTGTCATTATGTTAAAGATCCATGGAAGGGCTCCTTAACTAGGGCCAACTCAGGCCTTTGCGAGGATGGTGCCCAAACAGTTAGCATGTGTCCAGACCCTACACAAAAATGCCTTGCAGGGTCTGTATCCCCAAGAAGACCTGGAGTCTGTCTCCCTCAGCTCTTCCCATGATTGGTACAGCTTTAGCCCATTGTTAGTCACAATGGTGTTCCCATTCCCCAGCCCCACGCCCAGCACATTCAGTGTGAAGCACCGTAGGGCTGAATGCCTTTCCTAATATTCAGCTCCATATTTCCTCCCATGGACAATAGTTGCCTTTGAGATAAGAACAGTTTCCCATTTTCCCATCACACAGAGCAGGGAAATGTTGGGACCACGGTGGGAAGGAAGACAACTCCTGTGGACGTAGGACTTTGGTTTGACCACCCTGGAAGCCCTGAAGGAAAGAAGACACATTTCAGGCTTCTAATTTAAAACACATTTAAATGTTCTTGGATTTTCTAGGTCGCCCAGTACATTAAGTTTGAAATGCCGGTGCTGGACAGTTTTGTTGAAAAATTAAAAGAAGAGGAGGAAAGAGAAATAATCAAACTAACCACAAAGTAAGCAGCACTTAATCAGCTAGACGTGGGTCCTGGCTGCAGAGGACATTTGCCGGCCTTAATCTGACCACGCCAGCAGATTTCCCCGTCACAGATACCAGCTGCCCCTGCAGTTTGGAAAAACCTGCTGGCCATGGTCCCCAGCACTGTTCTCTAGTCCCTGCTCAGTACTGATAGTGTGTTGGGATGACAGCCTACTGAAATAGAGGGTACACCCATGCAGCCCAGGCATCCTTACTAGCAAGGACTCAGGCTGCAAGAAACTGGTAAGAAAAGGCAGAAAGAGGAGTGTGGTGGGTCCTGAGTTAGTTTTCTGAGCCCAGTGGAAAGCAGTGACAGTTGGAGCTCAAGTTCCAAGTGCTGTTTTCAAGGGACCAGGTCTCTGGAAGGGAAGCTCCTCAGGGCAGGCTGTGGGTCCCAATGACCTGTTTGTTCTTCAGTGTTGTGTGGCATGGAGCAGGACACAAGAACGTTCATCGGAGCTGGAGAAGGGAAGGCCAGGCTGCTCTCCTGCATGGGCCTGGGAGTAGCAACTGGTATGGATTCTGGCTTTGCATTTAATGATCCTTGGAAAGCCACATCCACTCACAAGCTTGCCTCTGTGCAGCTGGGCCCCACGACTCCAGGAGCTGCCCACTGGTCGTGTCACTATGGCGTTTTAAAAGCTGGAAGGACTTGGAAATCACTTGGTCAGTGGACTCAGTGTGCTGACAGGCATCTGAGGTCCATTAAAGATAAAGCTCAGGTTATTTGCAGAGCCCTGTCTGGGACCCAGGCTTCTTGAAACCTGATGTACAACCCTGATCTAATATCCCAGCAAACTCCTGCCCTTTCTTGAGAGTCTTTGGAATAGAATCCCAGCGTTCTTTGAAGTCTTACAGAGTCTACAGTCCTGCTGAGCCTCCTCAGAGAAAGAGAGACCATGGCTGCAGATCAGTCACTTAGGAGAAGTAGTTTCCCAGGCATCTGTGTGCTCTCTCCTGTTCCCACCTCCCTGTGCCCCAGTCTTAGTGAGGCCCCTTGGCTTTGTCTCCCTCCAGGTTCCAAGCCCTGCGTCTGACAATGCTGCAGCGCCTGGAACAGCTGGTGGAGGCCAAGTAGCTGGCTAGCACCTGCCTTTCCTGATGCCTGTGGCAGCAAGTGTACATGGAGTTCTAGAGACCCAGCCCTGACTGACCTGCCACTGTTAGATGGCTTTGCCCAAGGAATCTAGCATCTGTGATTCTAGTCTGTCCACAGCCTACGTACCATCCTGCATCCCTAGTCTTGGCACCACAGTGAGCATACACAGGGAGGAGACCAAGACCTGAAGAGCCAGGAACTTGCTGACTGGGATCTATGTGCAAGGCAGTGAGGGGCCCTGGAACTGTAGTGACAACCACATTATAGGGCTGAAGAGCATGACAGTCCTGTTCATACATCTCTCCTTCTTGAGAGAGCAGTATCTGATCTGGCTCCTGGAGAAAGGGCTTCATCTTCTTGTCCAGTTCCTGTCCCAGAGCCCCTCTGTGGCTACAAGCCACATCTATGTGAACCATGAGATCCCTGTCTGTCCTTGCTTCAAGTTGCCATTCAGACTCTGCTGGGGCAGGAACCAGCAGCCACTGTGAGACACGTCCCTTTTCAGCCACTTGCTGAGGTCAGTGGACTGCGGATTTAAAAGGAAGGATGATAAAGGCTTTCTGTGCATGTGGGAGCTGCTCGCAGGATCCTGCAAAGAGCAGAGTTTGAGAACAGCCATGTGGTGTGGAGCCACTGGTGAAGGTAGACTTCACACAGCATTTTCCAGATTCATCTCCACCTCCATCATATAGTCACCATGGTTCTTCTGGCCTCCAAATCTTCTCTCATAGCTGGCCTTCCTTGCCCAGAGGTTAGAACAGGAATAGATCAATCAAGATCTCATCAGGTATCTGCAGAAATCAGCCTCAACTTCTCAGAGTGCGATCCAAAGGAATCCTTGAAAGGAGCTGGCTTCAAGAAACATGTCACTTGAATCATGTTGGGAGTTCATCCACATATCCTTGAAAGAATGCTGGCTGGAAGAATGCTGTGCTCACCCCCATTGCCGTCTTTCTACGGGTATCTGTATGCCTCTTGCCTACTCTGGGCTTGAGCCTTTCCCTAGTGGGTGGGGTCAACTCTTAATACTTCCCATCAAAGCCCAGCAATGTGGTAAAAGGTCTGTTTGGAGACAAAGGGCTTCAAATTCCCTGGGGCTGGATACCAAACAAGTTGTTTGCTGACTGGTGGAGATTTTCTGGAATGAATGAGAAAGTACCAGTTTATGTCAGTCATGTATGTTTGTCTAATAGAGCAAACCAATGACCAAATTCTCCTGCTGAGGTCAGTGGACAGTGGATTTAAACGGAAGTATGGTAAAGGCTTCAAAGATAGAGGGGAGTTCTGTCTTCAGTGCATGTGGAAGCTGCTCGTGGGAGCCTGCAAAGAGCAGACTTTGAGAACAGCCATGCAGTGTGGAGCCACTGGTCAGGGTAAACCCCACACCAGCATTTTCCAGACTCTCTGCATCTTCACAGAGATAGAAGCTTCCAAAGGAGGCTGGGCTGAGTGTTCTTGCCTCTTCTCCCCTTTGGCAGTATACTTCCTTAGGTACTTAGTAAAGATGTTATATTGAGCTGAGGAAGCAAGGCCCAGACTTTCTTTTGTCTTTTCCTTCTGTGTCTATTACCATGAGCTCTTTCTCTAATACTATAGTGTGACCCCTTATAGTATGTAGAGCTTTGGTTTGCAGAACCATCTGCCCTTGACATTGATGAGACTCCTTCACTTCACGGCCTGGGGAGTGGTGTGGGGTCTGTGGCAAGGCTGCCTTACCTTAGAACACAGAGATGGAGTCACTGGTGATGGCCTGCAGGTGGCCTGAACAATAGACCTGAAATGTAGAATTTTAGCATCAGAAGTGCATCAGAAATCTTCTAGGCAGGGGCTCAGGAGGCTCTAGAAAGCAAATGAGGCAGGACCTCACAGACAATGTTGCTCCCTGTATTTATAAAGCTTAGGTCTAAGACAGCTGCCTGTCTTCCATTCAGAAGTAACTAAGTCATCTGACTGTCATGACAAGCCTGTGCTGGGCCCTGGAGGGACAAAGATAGAGCCTTGGTGTTTCATCAGGAGAAGCAGGAAGACACTAGAGAACCAGCTGAGCTCCTGGGAAGGAGGCTGGAATGAGCAGGTAGCTAAGACTATGGTTGGTGGACCAAGAGACATCTGCCATCCCAGGGAACTGGTTCAGGGAAGTCAGTGGGACAGAAAATCCTCTGAGCACAGGAGAATTGGGCTTTTTTACAGTTACTAAAATATTTAAGGCCTTTTTCTGTGTTGCTTTTGAAATACTATCAAAACTAATTTCTGAATATTGTAGCTAGAAGAACTCCATCAAGTCGCACAGGAAAGGAGATTTTCCTCTTCTGTAGGCCTCTGAAGTCTTCACAGTTTTTTAAAATCAGTACCACACTGGCTCTTCGGAGGCTACTGGAAAACTTGCTGATCCAGGGCATCCGACACTAGGAGTCTAGACCGCAAAGGCTTTGTCTTCTTCCTTTAGGGGAATCACCTGCTGCATACAGTTCACAGTATGTGTCATGTGCTCCTTGGTACCTCAGACAATAAAGGTATCTAGAGATAAAGTGAAGATTCCTGTCAGAAACTGCTGTCTTCCAAAGTAGGGCCGCCCTCAGAACCAGCCTTCAGAGGCCAGTGAGAATAACACAGAATGAAGTCAGCATGATTGTGAAAGCACCAAGTCCAAGAAAAACAGGGATGTTTGTCCAGAACAAATGACCAGAAGGGATCAAAATAACAGCTTGTTTTTCTGTAGCAACAGCTATGTGCTACCTGCTCCAGAGTGTTTACCAGAAAATGGATTAAAGTTCTCACTGTCAAAATAAAGCCATTCTCCCAGGATACACCTGGCTTTTTAGTCCCAGGGAAACAAGGAACAGCTTATCTGCCTGGGTGATTGGTGAGGGACCTGGAACTATGCCAAATGTGCAGTGTGTGGGCGTTCTGCAGTTGCAGAGCGGACTGTAGGATGTCCTTAGCAGGGGTGGTCTGAGCAGCAGGCCCTCAGCACCTCTGGGCCTTGGCAGCTGCTCAGGCAGGAAGCCCCTGGTTAGGGCAGAGCAGCTCCAAGTGTAAAGACAGGCAGATGCACGCACTATATTTAGGCCCCAAGAACTGCAGTTGTCTGGGTCTTAGCCAGCTGTTGACGTGCTTGGAGCCTCACAGAACACAGGATGGAGCTCAGTGTCCTCCTGTGGGGCTGTAGCAGAGAGGTTTTCTGCAGATTCAGGAGTGGGAATTCCCAGGGTTTCCTTTCCCAGACAGCCTGAAGAAAACAGCCTCAGGCTTATCAGACAAAACCATTGTTCGAGGTCCCTGTGATAAGGGTCTACTTTATGTAAGGTGGACCACTCTGGTTACTCTCCGTGGGTGGCACATGACTAGCCCTGTGCATCAGTGTTGCCAAAGCAGTGACACTCCCCATTTACAGAGTGCCTATCTGTGTGTATGTGCATGCACTTACACACATGCAAAGTGTGGTGGTACAATGCCACATCACAGCAGTGTTGTAATAAAGACAGTCTGACTCGGCATCCATTTCAACTAACAGTGGGACTCCAACTGTTCTGAGAACTTGTTCCTTCAGATTTTTCCAGGAACTGTGCTCTTAACAGCCTTGCTCTCTCTTTGCTGAAACCATACATAAAACATAAAATAGGAAGGAAAAGAGGAACTGTTTTATAAGAACATTATGTCCCTTCTGATCCCCTGCTGACCTAGAACAGCACACACAACCACAAACAGAAGTTATCAATTGAATCCTGCCTGTTGTTTGCAACACAAATGGATATATTTACAACTCTTGTTGCTTCCAAAGAATATTTGCTGCTTGCAACACTTGATTATTTTCACAACACACACACACACACACACAGACACACACATGCACACACTATTCTGAATCAGCAGCAAGGAACTGTTATGAGGGATATATGTTTAAGTTGCAGGAGGAGCCCCAAGGCCCTGTAAGATTATTTACATTGTAAACACACTGAGATTCTGTTCTAGAAGACATTCCCACACAAAGGAACAAAACTGTAGGAATAGGAAGCTGCCTTGCTAGATGGCTGTCCATCCAGAAGACTTTTCTGTGCTAGAATGAGCCCTTCAAATACTCAACACACCCACTGGAACAGTGGCCCCTGCTGGGCATTTTCTCAGAGAAGCCACAGCCATGGAGGTGTCTGGCTTCTCTTGACTTAGATTCCTCAGAAAGAATTGCTTTTAGGTGCCTGGCTACTGCACCCCCTCCCACCTATTGCTTTTTCCTCCTCTCTGTTTTTAAGTACCACGTGTGGCTACTCTTAATAATTAATTAAAAATATCATGGGTAGGTGTATGCTTTTACAGTATGCTAGACAAAGGTGACACAGCCACTCATAATGTACCAAGCCTTTCTCAAAAATTACTGACATCTCAAACATCAGTTAAGAAAGAGCCTGGGTGTCAGTGATTAGCATAGCATGCCGGACTATCTTAACAGCTTTGTTTGTCTTATAGGGCTTATGATTTGTGCCAAGATCACCTGGTAGGCAACATGGTGGTTATGGTCAAGATGCCTAGACTCAAGTCAAACTGGATCCTATACAAATTACTTGCCTCACTTTCTTTTTCAGTTAAATAAGGGTAATAATGGTTCCTATCTCTCAAGGTTGGTGAGAGTTATAGCTTTACACAGTAATAACACCAGAAATATCAGCACCACAAGAGCATTTACTTCTCATAAAAGTTTTGGAACTATAGTGGATGTGGTGGGTTCACATGGCTCTTTTCCACGTCTTCTCATCCTGGGTTTCAAGCCGAAGGAGCAGCTACGCTTTGGGACATGATATTCTTGAAGCAGATGGAAAGGAAAGCATGATGGCACAGGTGTCTCAAGGGTGCTTCTGGGCTCGTGTCATGCACTTAGCTAGTGCAAATCACCTGGTAAAGTCTGTATCTGTAAAGCTGGGCATGGTGGCACATGCCTTGAACTCCAGCACTCTGGAGGCAGAGGCAGTGGATCTCTGTGAGTTTGATGTCAGCCTGGTCTACACAGTGAGTTCCAGGCCAGCCAAAGCTGCATAATGAGATCCTGTCTCAGAAAACCAAAACAATGAAAAAGAAAAGTCTGTATCTGTAGATACATATGCTATGCACTCGGGGTTCTGAGACTTATATGAAAATAAGCAGGAATATAAGAATCAGAAAAGGGGGGCTCAGATGAGCAACACCAGTCACACTAGGGGAATAGTGACATTCTTCAACAGTGTCTGGCACACAATAAACTACTGCTATACTAGCAAATACTTTGAGGATATAATCTCTTTTTCATTTCCTTTTGATCCCACATATCCCCCTCTGGTCCTGGCCACTCTCCATGCTAACCTCCTACTCCTGGTCACCATGTTCTTTTATTTCCTGACATTCATCTCCCTCCTTAAAAAAAATTACTCTTTTTCTGGTTCTCTAATCTGAATACCTCTGGATCTTCTGTAGCTGGTCCAGTTGTTTTCAGGTATAGAAAAAAATGGATGCTCCACCTTTATATGGGGGCATGGAAAGAGTCTTAATTTATGACCCTTACCAATAATTTTTTTGAAAAAAATTAATCTCATTGTTATGAACCTAGAGCAAAAAGTTCTAGAAGGTCATTTTTGCTCTTGAAATTTTTCCTAAACTATCCCTGGCACCCACAGCTGTTGCCCCTCATCGACAGTCCCTGTCCCTCTGACTGCTACCATCAGTGGCTTGCAGCAATAATTTAGTAATAAAATTAACAATGGCTCAAGTTTCTTATATATTATGCAAATGTCCTGTCCTAGCTTCATTTCTATTGCTGACCAAAAGTAAAGTAGGGGAAGAATGGGTTTATTCAGCTAACATCCATCACTGAGAGAAGTCAGGACAGAAACTCAGAGCAGAAACTTGAAGCAGAAACCACAGAGGAACACTGCTTGCTGGCTCTCTCACAGGCTCATGCATAGCTAGCTTTCTCATACAGCCCAGGACCACCTGCTCAAGGAATGGTGCTGCCCACATTAGACCGGGCCCTTCTACATCGAATAATAATCTAGAAAACTCCCCACAGACGTGCCTATGGGCCAGTGTGATCTGGGAAATTCCTCAGTTGAGTATTTCAGAGGACTCTAAGCCCTGTCCAGATGACAGTTTAACTAGAACAGAGCTTTACATTGTTTCATTTAATCATTACAGTAGTTCAGATAGTATCTAGATTATTGAGTTGATGTCCATCCTGCAGACATCATTAAGCTTCATGCTCTGTCCTCTGCAGAAACAGCTCCCCCTGCCCAGAAGTCTCCAGCTTGAGTGTGTGTAGACCTGAGGCAATGCTTTCTGGCTTTTTTTTCCAGATCTGTAACACAGACTTGATGATCCTGCTTTGCAAGATGAATGGCAAAACAAAGATGTAAAAACATTTTTTAAGCAAGGAAACATCTTATTGATTCATTTATGCAGTAAATATGTACTAAGTGCCTGGTACCTGCTAAGCACATTTCTTAGTGCTGAATACACAGCAAAGAACATAGCACATGTCAGACTTCGTATGCCACTATAAGGTCATTGGCTTTTGCTCTGAGATGGGAAACCTTCAGAAGGACTTAAGACACAGGAATGACAAGATCTGATTTTAGTTATTAAGAGGATCACACTGAGCTGTGAAAGCCCAGTCAGGAAGCAAATGCAATAATCCAGACAGATTGAAACTGAGGCTTTGTTAAGGTTGTAGGGGCAGAGGCGTTGAAAGGGGCTTGATTCTGAACATGCTGTGAAAATAGACCCAAAAGAATTTGTGGAAGGAGTGTATGTACTTTAGGATAAAAAGATGCCACCATGGCATGAAGGATTTGACTTGAGCCTCAGAAATGATGGCAGGGGTGTGTGTGGGGTTAACTGCTGGAATGATGACTGAGGAGGACAATAGGTTTGGCATGCCCATTGTGCATACAAATGAAGATCCGGAGCAAGTGATCAAGTGGATGTATAGGCCTGGAATTCTGCATACCAGGATCAGCTTGGAGTCACCAGTGAAGGAGTCCCCAGCACATCTTAAGCCATTAGACTTGAAGGGACACGGTAGGAGAAGGAGGTAAACAGTGGGGTGTGCTGAAAATCAGGACTTGGAGCCAAAATTCCTGTGCCTTTCCAAAACTGGACTGTCCACTTGCAGTGTGAACTTGAGCAAATTTCTTAAGCTGCAGCTCCTGCCCTGTAAATTGCTATGTTCGTTCCCATCTTATGGGAGCCTTTGGTGACAAATAAGGCGACTTGCAGAAAACATCACTAGAAATACAGGCTTTGTAAGGTTATTTCTTTATACTGTATATTCAATATTAAGACTAACTTCCCGAGTTGGACAGACTGGCTTCAAAGTCTAACAAAGGCCAGGTTTCTGCCCAGGCTGCAGTTCGTGCCTGGACCACAAAGGGAGGGGCGATAAGTACTGTGGGCCAGGGGCCGCCAGACGTCTTCACAGCATCCGGAAGAATCCATCCATCAGTCCGGCGGGCCCTGGACCATAGAGGGTCCTCCGGTCGTTCCTAGAGCGGCCGCGGGGCTCCCGCGAGCAGCCTCACTTCCGGCGGGGAGAGGCGGCGGGAGACCAGGGCGGCGGCGGCGGGCGCGGTGAGTGGGTCGGGCCGGCGGGGTCGGGAGCCGGGGCCTCGGTGCGCGGTCGTGCGGGCGGGCGGAGGACGGGGACGGGGAGGGGGGACCGCCCGCCGCCGCGGGACCGGCCCATTGTGCAGAGGCTTCGGCTGTTCCTGGCTCTTGGCGCCTCACAGATGCACCGTGGGACGGGGCTGCTTTGTGCTGCTCATCCCGGGTTTACGGAGGAGGAAGCAGGTGCATTCTCGTCATCCAGGTTCACAGGAGCTCATCACCCTGACAGTACTTGACCTTAGTACTCTCCCCTCGCGGGGACTGCTGTCGCAACGCTGGACTTGGCGTTGGCCGACGTGGCTGTGGACCCCCAACTCTGCCGTCGTAGAAAGCGGGCCTTGGGGGCAGGTTTCTCGCGGGTGGCATAGATGTCTTAACTGGCATTGTGTCTGTTTGCTTTTGTGAAAACGGAGATGACGGTGTAAGGACAGCTGCGAAGTTCTGCGGCTGTTTTTCTGTTTCCAAAAACCTGAAAGAGGGTTTTTAAAGAATTGTCTTCTTGGATCAGTGCACTCAGAAATAATAAAGCATTTCTTAAGATTTTTCTCATGTAGTGTTTGCATCTAGCAAACAATAATCCTTACGGAGCAGTTCCTTTTCAAAGCAATTTGCTGAATTATCATCTACAGATATGGAAATAGAGTAGCCAGGCAAATAAGAATAAAGTGTATCAGTGAAGTCGTATAAATTGTCATTTCTTTCAGCTTTGGATGCCTTAGGTAGCCACCACTAAATTCAGTGTAGTAGTTTTTGGAATATACTGAATTACTCGCATTTAATTGTCTTTCACCGTTATTCTATGCCCATTGAGACGTTAGCTTATCTTTGCTTTTTAATCCGTCAAAATAATACACTCCATTGAAACTGCCTAACAAATTTACATTTTACCTCATCATTTTTTATTTTTACCTGTCCCAACAGACTGAAACTGCACACTGAAGATACTAAATTTAGCCTCTGGTGTTAGAATTATGTAACAAGTGTTTTTTTTTTTTCTTAGAATTTCATTTGTTTTATTTGTACTAAAGGTATTTTAATTTAAATATGTATGCAGTTTTGATGGGTTGAAGAGGTATTACAGTTGAATAACTTGATCTATTTTTTCTCCTACATGCAGAAGATTCCAAGTTGTGTTCCGAGGACAGAAGAATCTCTTGACAGCACATCTGGATATTCACCATGAGGTTAGGAAAGCCTAAAGGAGGTATTTCTCGAAGCTCGAGCCAAGGAATAGCTTACGAGAACAAGCGTAAGGCAGTCCGCCAGAGGCAGAAATGGGGAATGACCATTCGATTCGACTCGGGTCTAAGTAGACTGAGGAGAAACTTGGATGAGAAGCCCTATAAATGCACTAAATGTGCTAAGAGTTTCAGTCAGAGTTCCACTCTTTTTCAGCACCAGAAGATCCATACCGGCAAGAAATCCCATAAGTGTACCGACTGTGGGAAAAGCTTCTTTCAGAGTTCTAATCTCATTCAGCATCGACGGATCCATACTGGGGAAAAGCCCTACACATGTGACGAGTGCGGAGAGAGGTTTAAACAGAGCTCGAACCTCATTCAGCACCAGAGAATCCATACAGGAGAAAAGCCCTACCAGTGTGATGAGTGCGGCCGGTGCTTTAGCCAGAGCTCCCACCTTATTCAGCACCAGAGAACCCACACTGGGGAAAAGCCCTACCAGTGTGACGTGTGTGACAAGTGCTTCAGCCAGAGCTCCCACCTGAGGCAGCACATGAAGGTACACAAAGAAGAAAAGCCCCGTAAAACCCGGGGTAAAAATGCCAGGGCAAAAACGCACTTGGTTTCCTCCTGGAAAACTGGTACAGGAAGGAAGTCAGTGGCTGGTCTCCGCCAAGTAAAGGGCACTGCTTCAGGCCTTTTTAAAAAGAAAAAATAAAAGCTGATGGTCAAAAGTCTCTCTTTGAAGAATGAGGGTGCTTATAGTAGAGCACTTAGATGCTAGACCCTTCCCTAGCCCGGAGACTTTAGGAGTTCAGTGACCTTATTGGGCTGCAACTGTGAGTCCAGCTGCCCGTTTCTTAGTGACATGAGCCCAGAGAACTGGAAAACATGTCTGGTGAGGATCTAAGACCCTTGACCTCACTAGAAACTGCTTCCTTATATTTTGAGAAAAAAACATCACATTTTCATGATTCACTTATTAAAGTACAGGCATGCCAATAATTAGTCCCCTTTTAGGAATTTCTGTGGAAGAAATCGTTAAAGGAAGAAGAAGTAAATTTTGAAGTTCTGAGACACGACATTTTATGTTTTTAACGTTTTGTAGTTTACACATGTGGCTCAAAATTCTGCATCATGAAATACATTCGAGTTCATAGATTTTTTTTTTCTTTTTTGGTAGTGTATATTGTAAGAAGTAATTAGTTTCATTATGTTTCATGAATGTATATAATGTATCTGTATAATGTCCTTTGGTCATACTTACCCCTTGCTACTCTCTCTTCTCTTTCCCCTCCTGGTGGACTCATCCCAAATAGTTCCCTTTCCACTTCATGGTTTTGGTTTTGTTTTTTTTTTTCTTTAATCTAGATTCTGCCAAAAAAGAGAAAACATTTGTTTCCTCAAGACAGACTAATCTTGCTTAAGTAAGTTTCATCTGTTTTGTTTTGTTTTAGGTTCCATCTGTTTTCCTACCAACATGATTTTGTTCTTTATGGCTAAATAATAGTCCATTGTAACATTCAAAGGCTTTTAATCAAGACCCACCTGTGTTAGCTTTTGTTTCTTCCCTTCTTATGAGCCAAGAGGTTAAAAAGGTCCCTATTTTTTTTTAACCACATTCCTAAAAATCCCCAAATGGCAAACCCAGACCATCCCTTGTGATGGTGTCACTGGTGTTTTGGAAATTGGGGTGGGTTTATATTGACTCATGCCTGTGGCCTCTAAGCATTCTCTTCTCCCACAGACTGAGACTGCCATATAGACCTACATGAATAAATGGTATCTTACCAAGGAACTCCCACCTTGCTTCTTGCTAAAAACAAAATCCCCTGGCCTTCAAGGCTGAGCTTTGGATAACACTGATCATTTTAGACAAATGTTTGTCATGTCAGCAAGTTATGTACCAGTGCACTACAGCTCCTTTAGAACTTCGTCTGTAGTATAGCAATTGTTTAAGAAGGCAAACAAGTGTTTCTTCCATGAGCAGCATCACAAGTCACACACTTCTTATCAGCTTCAGCTCAGGTTTTAGTTTATTGAATTCTGACATTCTTTTGTTATTGTCTATAATACTAGCTCCTGCTGTAATGACAACTATCCTTAAAAATAAAGAATGAGATATTTTTGCATACTACTATCTGCTTGCTTTTCTTTTGATAAATGGTTTCAGTCAGTTGGACAGCAGATCAATAAATCACACCTTTTAGGGGAATCGTTCGTTCTGCTGTTGTTGGGTGCCTCTGCTTAGCTCCTTGCTTTGAATCTAGGGCCATGGAATATGGGCTGTTGACGAAGTGGCATCTGCCCGGATATCTAGAACTTTCTGTAAGTTCAAGACAGTTGCAGTGATGTTTTGCAAAAGACTTGACCTTTGATATCCTGTTCAGCCAAATCACTGTGTCAGTGGCCTGGCCCTGGGACCCTATTGAGCATCTACTGTCAATCTTATATTGGTTTTGTGTCTGAAACAGCTTCTAGCTAGAACTAACCCTACTGACTTAAATTTTATGAGCTGCCCATTCTGGTGGCAACCATAGATGCCCCACAACTGAGGCAGATTTGGTAGTTTACATTTTATGTTTAATAGGCAAAGCTCTTCAGTATAAAAATAAATACTCTAGATTTTAATGTGGTCCTAGTTTGACTTTGTTTGATGTATTATAGCCCTAAAGCTGGCAGGCAGCAGAGATAACTGATTTATAGCCTTCTATGGTAACTAATGTGTCTTGTGTTTCTTTTTAGAAACATAAAATTGAAAAGTCAAAACTGTCTAAAAATAACAAAGAAATGTACTACTAGAAATTGAATACTAATGTGAGTCTGGTAGGTATCACCTCCTTAAATAAAGGTTTGTTGCATGAAAAAGCGTGTGCCCCTCAACCCCGTATTCTGAGTTCCCAGTGCCATGCAGATGTTTATAAACATAATTCTTTTCCTTTTGCAGACATCCCCCTCGCCATCCAGCCTATGGCTTAGGGCATTAGGGAATCCGAATGGTACTAATTAAAAACAAGTGTCACAATTGAGCACTGTGTTGCAGGCCTGTAGTCTCAGCACTTGGGAGATGGAGGCAAAGAGAAGTCCAAAGTCATCCTTGGGTACATAGCATATTTGAGGCCAGCTGTCTCAGAAAAAAAAGGTCAAAAGCATTTCATTGGCCATTCTATATGTTGAAAACCCAGATTTGCATAATGCATGTTGTGTAAAAGAACACTTATTGGTCACTTTAAAGTCATTAAATTTACATGCCTTTAACTCTGCAAACTTTGGAATGATACCAAGTTTCGATATACATCTCCATTTATTTCCAGCCACAGATGCATATAGTATTAAATGTACTAAAATCACTTTAACGTGTTTGTTTACAACATAGCCATTTAGAAGACTTAACAAGATACTTAAATGAACTTGTACTTTGTTAAGATTGTTTTGCAAATAGTCAAAAGCCCGGCAAAATCAGCATAAAACATAGCAGTTATTTTAGTAAAACATAAAATCTTGTCCTCTAAGCCGATTCATTTTTGCAGATGTTATTAAGAGCAGAATAGTATTTTAGTGGCACTTCTTTAGATGCAATTGGTAGAGTGCTTGTCTAGCGAAACAAAGTCCTGAGTTCAATCCCCAGTACTTAGGAGGCAGAGACAGGAAAATCAGAAGTTCAGGCCTGTTTTTGGCTGTATAACAAGAGCTCAGGACCAACTTGGGATATATGAGACTGGTTCAAAAAAAAAAATCGCTTATCTAGGTTTACATTTTGAAAGATAGTTTCCCCCCCTAAAAAAGGACACTGGCAAGGTGACTCGGTGGGTAGGGTGCTAAACACCTGAGTTTGATCCCTGGAACCCACCTGATGGAAGGAGAGAACTGATTCCAGCATACTGCCTTCTGGCCTACACACACGTGTCATGTCTCTCTCTCTCTCTCTCTCTCTCTCTCTCTCTCTCTCTCTCTCGTGTAATATCTCTCTCTCACACACACACACACTCACAGATAATTAATCTCTCTCTCTCTCTCTCTCTCTCGTGTAATATCTCTCTCTCTCACACACACACACTCACAGATAATTAAGTGTAAATTTCTTTTGAAATTAGTATCAATAACCGTAGACAGACATCACTGTAAGTCCTTATATGTAATATATAATATGTAATACAGCACTGTATGTCTGACATGCAATATAATTAAAAATTTTTAGAAACTTTTTTATGGTTTTCTAGAACTTAAAACAGTTTGTTTATTTCTATGTATTTGTACACATGCACATTTGGGTGCCCACAGAGACTAGAACACAGTGTTGGATCCCCTGGACCTGGAGTTGCAAGTGGTTGTAAACTACCTGATGTGGGTGCTGGGAACCAAACTCTGGTCCTCTGGAAGAGCAACCAGTGCTCTTAACCACTAAGCCATTTATCCAGTCCCTTCTGGTATGTTTTAATGAATGTACAATTATTACATCTATAAATGCCATGTATAATTTCAAGTAGAAATATAAATTTATGAAGTTTGTGAAATAGCCTTATAAAAACGTTTATATTTGGCTAGATTGACCATAACCAAAATGTTGCTTATAAGGGTTTAATTTTTAAAAATATTTTTATTTTATGTGTATGAGTGTATTGCCTACATGCATGTAAGTGCACCTCTGTCATTCAGTGCCCGTGGAGATCAGAAGAGGGTGTCAGATCCCCTGGAACTGGAGTTACAAATGGTTGTTAGCCACCATATGGGTGCTGGGAGTTGAACCCAGGAGTAGTCAGTGCTCTTAACTGCTGAGCCATCTCTCTAGCCCCTTAAAATATTTTTATTGCATTGATTGACTGACTGATGATTGATTGATTGATTGATTGATTGGTTGTGTGTGTGTGTGTGTGTGTGTGTGTGTGTGAGAGAGAGAGAGAGAGAGCGAGAGAGAGAGAGAGAGAATGAGAGAGATTAACATATCTAACAAAACAAGGTGGAGAGCTACAGAGGAGGGCACTCTATGTCAATCTCTGACATCAGCCTCTCGTCTCCACACAGGCATGCATGGGTAAGCACACCTGAACACACACACACGTACACCACACAAACACCAGATCTCACATTATCAACTTTATGTTTAGACTATTCCTGGAAAATAAATCTACAGCAAGAGCCTAATAAAATGATTTTTAGGGGGCTGGAGAGATGGCTCAGCAGTTAAGAGCACTGACTGCTCTTGCAGAGGACCCGGGTTCGATTCCCAGCACCCACATGGTGGCTACGAACTGTCCTTAACTCCAGTTCCAGGAGAATCTGAAGCCCTCTTCTGACCTCCGCGGCATTGCACAACACAGGTGTACTCACATACATGCAGGCGATACAGTCGTACACATAAAATAAAAATAAGTAACTCTTTTTAAAAAAAGGATTTTTAGTGTACGTTATTTAGAAGCATTCTGATTAGCATTAAGCATCTCTGTGTTTATCTTCTGTTACCTTTGAATATTTGAAAAATTAAATTTGGGGTTGGGGAGATGGACCAATGGTTAAAGCACTTGATGTGCTAGGTGAAAACTGGAGTTCAGACCCCCAGACCCAGGCAGATATGGTGGTTGCCTATAAACCCAGCACTCAAGAGGCAGAGACAGGGAGTCCTTAGGCCAAGCTTCCTAGCAAAACTAGCCAGAATCAGTGAGCTCTGGGTTCAGTGAGAGGCTCTGACTCAGTAAATGAAGTGGAAGGCAATCAAGAAGACACCTGGCATCAACTTCAGACCATCACACAAATGTGCACATGTGCATGAGCACCGGCACACGTGCGCATGTATGCTCACATATGTGAACATGCACACACATGCAGAAAAATGATTGAAATTTAATTTTTCTAGAATCTGTTTTAGAAGAAATCCTCATCAAAAACCACGTAGCCAATACAAACAAAACTTTTTGACTCCGATGAATGCTGTTTTTACATAAATGAACCATGCTTTCAGTAAAGACGTTTAGTGCCTATCTAACATATTTGCTTTGGAAGATCAGATACCATTTATTAGTGTATTTAAAACATATTAATCATTTATGAAAAATCTTCAGCAGATACCATCTTAGTACGCGTCAAGAAGTCACGTGCCCATTTAAAAAATATTCTATTGTTTTTATTTTATGTGTACGAGTGTATTGCCTGCATGTATGTGAGTGCACCCGTGTTGTGCAATGCCGCGGAGGTCAGAAGTGCCCATTTTTAAGGTAGTATCGATTTATCAGATCTTTCTGTAATCGTTAATTTTTTAGGTTAGCATGCAAAGTAATGGTTTTTATCACGGCATCTTCATGTACACGTGCCTCTCTCCTCTCCTTGTTCGTCCTCCCCTGCAGCCCTCCCTACTTCCCGCACCTCCAGCTGGCCCTCTTCCTCTAGTTTGTCTCAACTTCTGCTTTCTTGCCACATGCATTCCATTATCCTATTTCCTGCCTCCCTTAAGGTCTGTTTCTCAATTCTCATGATCCCGTCTGAGTTTTGTGATCCACATGCATCTATATGTATATATACGTATATGCACATGTGTATATAATTTTAAATCTAGGTGCTGCATATTAAGGAAACAGGGAGTTTGTCTTCCTGCCCTTGGTTTTCTTCACATCTCCCATTTCATCTCATTTATTAATTTAGGAGTTATCTTTCTTTTAGTTAGCCTGGCTAGAGGTTTGCTAATCATGTTTACTATCCTAAAAAATAAATTCTTTGATAGACTACATGTTATTCTTTCTTTTATTCTGTTTCATTGGTCTCTGCAGTGATCTTTATGATTTCTTACCTTTTACTGTTTTAAACTTGGGTGGTTCTTGAGTTTCTTTTTAGAACGCTGAGAGACATCATGAATTTATTTGAGGTTTCCCCGCTTCTGATTTTTAAGGTTCTTCTTTATGTGTATAGACTTTTAAAACTGCCTTAGCTCTATCCCAGAGGTTCTGATAAGTTGTGGGTTTATTTTTATGTAATTGTAGGGGCCTTTACTTTCTTCCATGATTTTTTTCATCGACCTACTGGCCATTCAAGAATTGCAGTCCTCATGCATTTGTGTATTTCCCTTAGGTTTTAGTTTATGGAAGAATGATCTGTTAAGATCAAGAGATTATTTCGATTCTTTCGTATTTGGGAACTCCTGATTTGTGACTCAGAATGTGGTCTGTTTTAGAGAAAGCTCAGTAGGATACTAAACAGAATTTCTATTCTGGTTTTATTGGAGTGAATATTCTGTAGATGTCTGTGAGGTGCATTGGATCTATGATGTAGTTTAACTCTGAAGTTTCTTTGTTGTTTTTTAATTTGGATGACCTGTTGAGAGATGAGTGAAATCACCCACTATCACTGTATACAGATTCATCTGTCATCTGTGTCCACTGATGTTTGCTTTATGAAAATTGGGAACTCAATGTTTGATGTATATGTATTACAAATGTTATATACTCTTTATGAATGATTACTTTTACTAATATGTAGTGGTTTTCTTTATATTCTCTGATTAATTCTGGTTTGAAATGTATTTTATCAGATATCAGCACAGGTGTACCAGCTTGGTTTTACATTCCAGCCATGTGATTGTTTTCCAGTGTTTGACTCAGTCTCTGGAACAGTAAGGTGTGTTTCTTGGAGACAACAGAAGGTTTGGATCTAGGTTTTTAATCCAGTCATTCAATCTGTGTCTGTTTATTGGTAAATTGAGGTCATTGACATTTTAGGTTATTATTGAGGGATGTTTCACTAATTCTTGTTATTTTGTAGGCTGTTTTTCTGGTTTGTTGGATTATTGTTTGTTCTTTACTTTATCCCCTTTTAGTATCAGGAGTTTGCTGGTTTACTACATTGAACATGGCAGAATCATTGCTAGCTCTTTCTTGTTGAGATACTAATATTATGAAACTCCTTCCTTCCTATACCCTTGTGATAAGACAGTCTTTCCTCTGCAGTGTATATAGTGCTCCTTAGTTATCTTCTTTTTTTTGTTTGTTTTTTTGTTTTTTTGCTATGACAGCTTGGTGGTTAGGAATTGTCTTAGTTTGTGCTTGTCTTGAAATTGACCTCATTTCTCCATCAATTTTAAAAGATGGGTTCGTCATCATACAGAAATCTTATTTTTCAGGGTTTGAAATATGTCACTCCA